ATACTGCAGGAGGAAGAGGGCAGGCAGGAGGAGAGCCCTCCACCCCACCCCCACCCGCACAGAAACCCAAGAAAGGGGGTGGGGAGACCAGCAGGAAAGGCCGATTAGTGCTCCGGCCTGACTCTTTATACCCTGGAAATGGACATACGGGCTACAAAGGAGAAAGGCGGGAGGCTTTCTTGACAAAGCTGCACATTCCTGGCACCTCCCCACCTGAGTTAATCCTGAAGATCACTCACAGGGCCAGAAGTCAGGGAGTCTTCAACCATAAGAGAGCGAGGTCAAGTTCCACTGGGAGGCAGGAGTCCCCTGGTAAGCTCACCTGCTGTGTTCAAAGCAAATGTTCTGTGATGACAGGGTCCCACCAGGCCCAGCCTGTCCTGGAATCCCCTGAGTCCTGCAGAAGCAGTGAGGGATCCTTCCTACTCAGAGACCACCAGGTCATATCTGAAGCCTGTACAGTGGGATGTGGGTTCCCGGCAACAGCACAGAGTCAAAGACTTCACAACAGAATGCCGTCTCTCAGGTCACAGGCTTGGGCCCTGGTCCCCTTAGACACTAGGGTGACACTTGGCACCTATACCAACTACTGCACACACAACAGGGAAGCAGGTGCAGGAGCCCTCCAGATGGCAAGCATTCACCCCTTAGTTGCTAAATGTGGAAAGGCATGCCAAGGGGAGACAGGTAGCTGGGACCTGTGGGGCCCTGGGGGCTCAAGATAGTGGCCTTATTTAACAACCTATCCAGAAGGATCTCACTGTCAGACCTATGTGACCCAGCTTCCATTTTCAAGATTCACCCCCACCCCCCTCCCGCCCCCCCTTCACAGCACTCCCCGTGAAGGCCGAGCAAAGGAAGAGGGCCTGACACAGGCCCAGGTTTCCTCTCATGGATTCTGCTTAGCTACCAACACACTTCTCAAGTCTTCCCAGAAACACTTAGCCTCCTTCTAGACCTCAGCCAAAGCCTCCGCGTCTGCTCATGGCAGCCTCAGCAACTGCCTCCTTGCCTCTAGATGTAATGGTCAGCAGGGCAGCAGCGCCAACCTCTCTGTGGCTAAAATCTCCCCTAAAAATCTGAGAGCCAGGAGCACAGCACTGAGAAACTACACATACATGTGTCTTTCCCATCCCAGCCTTTCTGCTGACCACCCTTCAAACAACTCTTCCGAAATCCAAAGAAACACCAAGAGTGAGGCTGTGGTCCACAGTGAGCCTGAAGCCTGAGAAACCCTGAGCAGCTTCCAGGGCCTCTCTTCCAGCCCCAACCCACAGTGTGATAGCCGAGTAAGGTGAACAGGCTGGGCTGACCCACTCCAGGGTATCGCAACTTCATTTTCACTTTTGCTAGAGGGCCCAGGGCAGAGTGCATTATTTTTGCCTGTTTATCGGTCACAATCTGTTAGCATTGTGTTTGAGTGCCTGAAGGCAGCCACCAAAGAACCTTATTTTTCTTACAGGGAGGTTTATGTTACACTGCCTCGTAAGACTTGGCTCCGCAATGCTTTCCTCTACGATCCTCCCACCTCCACTGAACTGCCAATGGACCTTCTTTAAATTGCAAACTGATCACAGGTGGCAAGGAAAGTCCTCTTCCCCAACCCACAGGTTCACTCGGGAGCTGCTGACTCTGCGGAAGCCCTGTGTCGTCTCAGACACGCACTTTCCAGTGATTACAACCACCGCTCCTGATGGGGAGAAGGGACCCAGGAAAGAAGGGGAACCCAGAGTTCCCCCCACAACCGAGCTCCCTACTCAGGACCACATATACAGTGCCCCCACTGTGGACCTCATCTCCAAAGCAAGCTGCATCCTGCACCCACTTTCTTAACTGGCAGCTGGCTAACGGGAACCCCGTTGTGATACCACAGCTGGGCAGATAGCTGGCACTGGTGTCCAGAGGACTTTCCAAAAACTGGTCATTGATGGCTTTCTAGGTTCACAAACCCCAAAGGAACCGCTCCAATCTGTCCCAGAGATGCAGATGTTGAATAAAAGGAGCCAATTTCCCAGAACCCAACATGCACTCCAACTTCAGGGGCTTGTGGGGTTTTCTCGTTCCATTTTCCATTGCTCAAACACCTGCACCCCGACCCCAAAGCAAGGGCACAGCACTGTACCAGCTCCTAGGAAGGACAGTGCTTCGGGCCCTGGATTACACCCCAAGGATGGTGGAAGCACAGGCAAGGGGAGTGGCTTAGCCTCTCAGCAGAGCTCACCGTTCTCCTGGGAAACCCTTCCTTTCCACCCCAGACAGCCACCCTTCAGCCAGAGGCAGCTTCATTTCAATAGAAATCCTCTCCTGCAGCAACTGCCAGCATACCAGGGCCCCAGGGAGACTTAACATGATTAAAATTTTAAGGCATTTAAGATGCTCAAAGGAAAGGGATCCTTGAAGTGCAAATCATCAATTTAGGGGGAAAGAGCAAAATATGGGGGTAACCTATTTAAGTGTGGGTGAAAAGTAATTTTAAACAATATTGTACGTAATTTGCTTTAATCCTGAGAATGGACATTGAGACCTAAGGTTTCTGGCAAATTTTCAGCAGTCACTCCTCCTTAGTTTATTAAATCTGCAATCCCAGGTGAGCTGACTTTCTGGGCTTTGCCAAAAGGAGAATAACAGTTCTAAGATGAGTTATTTAATAGGCAGGGCACACAGAAGAGCAGGCTGGGCTGCTGAAGCAGCAGAAATCCTAGCATGGTTCCTCAGACAATCCCAAAGCCTAACACTGAAGCCTGGTGCCCACAAAAACAGTGCAGGAAAAAACTGGCTGCATGTGGAAGTAGAGCCCTGACCTGGGCAAGGAAGAAAAGAAATGTAAGTGCACTTATCTCTGAAAAACTACAGTGTTTAAATTCTGCCTTCCATACACACTCCACTATCTTTTTAGGTCCGTATTTTACAAGCTAAACAAACCACGTTTTCTTTTATCACGAGGATGAACTAAAATGTGGAGAGACTTCTAGTGTAATCCCACGGAAACAATTCAGAGGAGGAAAACAGTTTTCCTATAGATCAGGAATTTAAGACAGCAGAGTTCCATTCTCGAAAGGCCTCTGCTTCCTATTTATATCAGGGTCCACCCCACAAGTTTAATGAGTCTTTACTGCAATTTCAAAAGCTATTGCTTTTCCTCCTCTTCTTCCACTGACAAACCACCAAGCCATTCTGTGAGCTAGGCCACAGAACAGAATCCTGGATCACCAATGTACGTTTAAGTGTTTATTTCCCCGACTTTTCCTGCATGGTCTTTACCAAGTCACAAGGTGAAGGAGTTCTTGAATTCTCCCTTTCCCCCACCATAGCTAAAGATCACACTTGACAGGTGTCTGAAAACCCACCAAGTGTCCACCAGATGAAGCACACAGGTGATGAAGTGTCCCCAGGAAGCTGGCACCACAGGCACCTTCTCAGCACCTGCACTGACCCAAGTGGCCACACCAAGGGGGTTCTCAGTTTGCTTCTCTTTGCTGAATGGCAGCTGGTTTTGCCATGCCTCACCAGCCTCCCAAGCTCAATTCCTCAAAGACTATGCCAGCGGCCAGGAACCAGTCCACTAGGAAGTTTTCAAAGAAGGGAAATGCTTCCACTTGCTGCATGCTCTTGATGCAGGGGCTTCATACAACTCACAGTTCCAAAAGCGGGGCTGAGACACATGGCAGCTCTTCAAGGCAAGCCAGGCCAGGTCAGCACACTCTAAATAAAGGGAACCCATGAAATCCTCCAAGAGCCAAGTAACACACATCCATCTGCTCCCTCCGGCCCTGCGGCTGGGAATGAATGAAAGCAGCAGAGGGAATGGAACCTCACAGGCAGCGAGGCCGTTGACATTTCGGGTCTGACTAGTTAGTCCCCTTTGGCTTGTTCCAGGATCCCACCCGCTTACTCCGACCCGGGTTCACCTCCATTAACTCAGACTTTCCTAGTTTGTGGTGTCATTAAACGTCGCGGTAATAAGGGTTACAGGAGTTGGAAAAAGATAATGCTGCTTTCAAAGCCGATGAGCCAGACACAAACGCACCAGCCCAGACCCGACAACACCGGGACCAGGACCTCGCTGGCCAGCTTCTCCCAGTAACCGGGCCAGCCTAGCAGAGCAAGGTCGCGGGACCGCACAGTAACCCTATGGTCTCATCACGCGATCAGTGGCACCCGTCGTGACACCGCGGGGAAGGACTACACCTGCAAGCGGGGCAGTGGGGCTGGGACCTGCAAATGCAGGAGGCCAGGTCCGGCCAGCGCGGGGGGCCGGGCCCGAGCGCAGAGTGGGGCGCAGGGCTGGGTCTCGGGGGGTGGGGATGGGGGAGCTCTGCTTAGCTGGGCAACGCTCCGGAGGCAAAGCGCGGAGCACCGGGAAGACCCGGGACCCCCCCCCGCGCAGGGAGACCGGACCCGGCCAGCGTCTGCAGCCGCTGGCTCCGAGGGATGGCCAAGAAACTCGAACTCGGGTCCCCGGCGTCCGCCCCCGCCCGCTCGCCCACCCTTCACCCGCTTTGTGCTCCGCACTCCGCCGCAGGACGGCCCGGCGGACCCGGACCGCGCAGGCCTCGCGCACTCACCTTCCTACCGGAGCCGCCCGCGCCCGCGGCCAGCGCGGAGCCGCCCCCCGAGTACATGTAGTAGGCGATGCCCAGCACCCACAGCAGGGCGAAGCACAGCAGCATCCGCGAGCGCCGCCGCATCCTCGCTCTCGGCGCGGCCGCGGAGTGCAGCCAGGTCGGCGCGGCGGGCGGAGCGCGGGACGGGGCGGGCGCAGCGCGGGACGGGGCGGGCGCGGGCGCGGGCGGGGCGCGGCGACGCGGGAGGACGCGGAAAGCGGGCGAGTGGCGCTCGCGCCCGGCAGGAAGCGGCGGCCCCGGCGGCGGGGTCAGGGAGCAAAGGGCGACCAATCGGCGCGGCGCGGGGGCGGGGCATGTGGGGGCGGGGCGCCGCTGCCATGGAGACGCCGCCCCGCCCCCCCCGCGCGCGCCCGTGAGTGGCAGGTGGCTGCGGCGGAGGCGCGCACTCAGGCCCGGCCGGGCAAGGCTGGGCCTGTGCGCGCGCGGCTCCGCGCGTCCCGCCGGGTGGTCTCGGTCCCTGCGCGCGCACACCTGGACCGGCCGGCTCCGTCGGCTGGCAGCCATGTCTCGTCCATCCTGCAGCAGAAGCCTCGGCGGCCCCAGGTGTGGATTTCATTTCTTTCTTTAGGCAGAGGTCGGGGGCTTGAGGCAGAAACTGAGAGGGTAATTTTCAAAGGAACGTGTTTCTGGGATGGCAGGGCCGTTGTTGTTTTAAGTAAACATGAAAATGAGGGAGGAGGGTGGCTAGTTACATTTTCAAATCTTTTCTTTTTCCTCGGTCGCTTTCTTGAAAACAGAATGAAGTCAGCTCACTCAGCATCTCTAAGGAGCCGGGAAACAGAGCTCTCTTGCAACAGCGTCCGTGTAACCTTGGCGATGCCCTTGAAACTTGCAAAGTTTCCTGGGTTCTGAGAAGGAGAGAAATGTTTTCTGGCACAAAAAAAAAACAAAAAACAAAAACAGGTGTTTTTGAAGCTCCCCATCGGAGGATAATGGCGACTGCCTGGATGGGGATCTACCCCTACCCCAACAAACCCAACACTCTAAACAAGGGAGAGGCTGGTGACCGAACCTCAAGCTACTCAACAGGCAAGAAGGACATCATTCCAACTGAACTCCCTCCATGCTGCCAAGGACTGAGGGGAAACACAGGCGATGGCCCCTGAAAAAAGAAAGTCCAACCCTAAGAACTAAAAACTGAACACAGAACAAGTGTGGCAGCCTTGAACCTTGCTTCTTGGGAAAAAGTCAGATAAAGGGGTTTGGCAGCCTCATAGTGAAGGGAAAGAAGTTAGAAGGGAAAAGTTAAGATCCTGCAGAAATGAAAGAGAAAGCAGACAGCCCCTTTCCCAAACACCAGCATTATCTGTTAAAATCTGAACCTTGGGACACAGACAGAAGAGAAGACTCTCAACCTGGGAACCCAGCCCCAAATCCCTACTAACTGAAAAATATCAGTCGATGTAAAAAAGCTCCTGCAAAAATAAAAATCAACACATGTCTGAGGATGACTTTTAACATTTCACCTGATAAAAATTCCCCCATAAAAACCATGAAGCAGTAGAAAATTGAAATACCACATATCAAACTGAGCAAGGTGTCATATATTTACATATACACACACTACAAATAGGAATTCAAAAACTAAGACTGGACTAGACAAAAATTAGAAATACAATGATCCAGACTCAGAGGCTACTAGAGAGGAGGATGGTGGTTCAATGCCAGCCCGGGCAAAAAGGTAGGGAAGACAGTATTTCAAAGAACAAGCTGGGCATGGTGGGACACATCTGTAATACCAGCTACAAGAGAGGTGGAGGTAGGAGGCTCACAACCCAAGGCCAGCCTGAACAAAAACTTGAGACCCTATTCCAAAAAATAACTAGAGCAAAAAATGAGCTGGAGGAATGGCACAAGTAATAGAGCACTTGCCTACCAATCTCCAGGCTCTGTGTTCAAAACCTCAGTACCATCAAAAAAATGCAATGAGAGTTGACCGAAATCTGCCCCAGAAACAAAGATTAATTAATTCCAGGGTACCCAAAGGAGAATATATTCAATTGAAACTAAGCAAAAGGGAAGGGAAGCAAAGGAAAAGAAGAGGGAGGGAAGGGAGTTGAAAAAGCCAGGGAAGATGAACCAAAGTATACATAACTGAATCCCTAAAGCAGAAATACCAGCAATGAAACAATTAATATTAAAATTCTAATCCCTGCTGGTGCTGTAGTTCAGTGGTAAAGCGCTTAGGCACTGTGTGCAAGGCCCTGAGTTCAATTCCCAGCACCACAAGAAGAGGATTTCCACTTCAGTAAACATTAAAAAAAAAAGCAGTAATTCTAGAAAATAATCCAGGAATAAGGGAAACTATAAATCTACACATCAAAAGTGAGTTCCATGTATTGTTGAAAGCGGTCTGGAATAATGAACTCCAAAGCATATCTCAGTAACCCCATTAGACTTCAAAGGCAAGAAAGATCAAACTACTTACAGAGATAAAAATTTAGGCAGGCAACAGACTTCTCAAGAGCAATGTAAAAAGTAAGGGAACAGCAGACCAGTATTTACAAGGAACTGAGGAGAGAAATTACCAGCAGGGGCTTTAAATCCAGCTTCCAAACATCAAGGCATACAAAAGGTGTGAACTAAGTGCAGAGATTCAGAGAGCACCATACACCTGGGCCTTTCCTCGGAATCTTGGGGACCACGCCTCCTCCATCCAAGAGACAGCAGAGGAAGTCCACAGAACAACTGATGGAGTACACTCTGTGTGTCAACGGGTGGGAGACAGTACGGCAGTTCCTGGTGAAATTAAAAGTACAAGTATCTTATGATCCAGTGATTGCAATGCTGGGTATATCAAAAAGAATTGAAATAGGACATCAAACAGATATTTGCACACCTGTGTTCATTTCAGCATCATTCACAATAGTCAAAGGATGAAAGCAATCCAAGTGTCCATCAACAGATCAGAGTTGAATAAACAAAGAGTGGCATATTCATACCATGAAATATTATTCACCCTTGAAAAAGAGAAATTTTGACAAATACTTCAACATGACTGACCCTGAAAAACCATATGTTAAGCAAACAAAACAAGCCAGACACAAAAGGACCAACACTCTGGTTCCCTTTACATGAGGTTCCTAGAGTAGTCAGAATCATAGAGATGGAAAGGAGAATGTAGTGTTCGGGGCTGGGAGAGGAAGGGATGGGGAGTTAGTGTTTAGTGAGGACAGAGTTTCTGTTTGGGAAGATGACAGAGTTCTGGAGATGGATGGTGATGGTAACAGAGCAATGAGAAGACCCATACACTTGAAAATGACTGAAATGGTATATTTTTGTTATGTGTATTTTACCACAATAAAAACACACAAATGACAAACCACAGGAAATTATAGATAAAGGAGTGATAACACTGATATAGAGAGAACTTTAACAACTGAGGGAGAACCCTATAAGATCATAAACAATTACAGTAAAGATCTAAAAGATCCCCATAGCATATGAAAAGACATTAAACTTCACTCCACTTCAATTAAAACTACCGAGATGGTAGTTATCCCCCAAGAAATCAGCAAAAAATCCGTAGCTCAACAGAATACTGTGGACCAAACTACAGACAAGAGCCAGGCAGACTTCTGTGCTCAGCAGGGCATGTTTTCCAGGATGTGTTAGGAAGGAAACACAAAGTGCCATGGGAGCACACATCGTGTGCTGCTTCTCATCTAAGAAAGAGGCAAAGTAAGAAAGCAAATATACCCTCTTGCTCTAGCAACATGCACACACGCATGCCAAACCAGAGAACAGTAAGGTTGGGGAGCAACTTGGGTGACAGGGAAAGCACTTGGGGTACGCACCCAGCCTAGAGAATAAGAGAACTGCAGAGAATTTCAAACTGTCATGGCTTCTTCCTGTAACTTAATGTTGGTAGCCATTAAACTACTTTTTGCATTGAGTGTGAGTGAACAAATCAGAAATATTTAGGGAACTAGGATTTTCGCTGGAAGGAGGCAGGCACGATGTGGACTGGAGAAAATCAGGGAAGGCTCCTGTGAACTAGAGGCAAAAGATGAGCCATTTCTGTCGCTTATGTACATGCGTGCAAACCGCAGTACACGTACATACATTCTCCACCTCTGTCCTCCGACAGTGCTCGGATCAGTGACACGCAGCAATGAACACACTTCCCACTCAGATCCTGGTTTCCAAACACCACTCCACGTTCCCCACTCTAAGAATGTTCCCCTGGAAAAATGGGTGATCCATAGCTAGGACCGAGAAGGTACTAGATGAGCCTGCAATATCTCTCTAATAGAAGGAAAGAATGAGAAAGAGAAAGAGGTCAAGTGTGCACAGTATTTGAAAGACATGGGGGGAAGGGGAACTGGTGCTGTGGCTCAACAGGTAGAGCACCTGCCTTGCAAGCATGAAGTCCTGACAAACCCCAGTACTGCTAAAAGAAGGAAGGAAGGGAGGGAGAGAGGGAGAGAGAAGGGAGGAAGGGGAGACAGCTCAAAGAGCTCCCCTACCTCTGACTAAATTTAGAACACATGCCTCAAAATAAATACTGAATAAAAGGAATCTTCATGTCCATACTGATAAGGAATAGACAAGAAAAATAGGAAGAAGAGAGGAATCTTCTTTTCCGTGAATGTCAAGTGGTACAGGTAAAAGGGCAGGTGACAGGCAGGTGACTCACCATTCTGCAAAGAATCACAGTGAAGATTAGTCTGGAGAAACCTCGTCAGTAGACACCACTGTGGTGCTAGGTGGAGAGCTGGACCAGCAGAAGAGTGTATAAGGCCTTCAAACATCTTTCTAAGAATACTTACTAGTTTGTGAGGGTCACACGGATTTCTTGTGTCTTCAGACACTCAGAACAGAACATTATGGTTTTAGGGTTCTGCCCAGGATGAATAAATATGGGAAAAAAATAAAATCCAGGAACATTCTGTAGAATAGCTGGTTTGTATTATTCAAGAGAGTCACCATTATGAAAGACAAAGGGTGAGGAACTGTCCGAGATTAATGGGCAAAAGACACACAGTAAGTAAATGCAACACAACTGCCATGGAGGAGTGGGAAGGGCCTGAATTGGTGTCAGAGGGTCAGCATCATGAAGGAGTGAGGAGGAGCCTGAGCAGGTGTCAGAGAGTCACTGCCATGGAGGAGGGAGGAAGCCCTGAGCAAGATAAAATTGGATGGTGGGCTGTAAATTAGGTAACAGTATGGTGCTGCTCTGGCTTGAATGTTTAGTCCCTCCTGAAGCTCATTTTGAAACCTTATGCACCATGAAGCAGAGTTGGGAGGTGTTAGGTCCTGAGGGCCCTGCCTTACAAGTGGATGAACACACCACAAGGGCTTGCGTGAGTGGGTCAGCTTTCTCCTCCACCCTCTGCCTTGGAGCGTAGCACGGCCCCTAACCCCTACCTCCTCAGGATGCAGCACCCAAGGTGCCAAGGAATGGGATCTTGGATTTCCAGCCTCCAAACTGTGAGGAATAAAGTTCTGTTCTTTACAAATTACCTGCCTGTGCTATTCTGTTATAGCAGCACAAACAGACAAGAAAGGATTATATTCTATAGTGACGTCCCATAAATAGAGCGTGAAATGTCCTGATTTTGCTGACTGCACTCTGATTACGTAGGAGAATGTTCTTGATCTTATGAAACACAGACTGAAGTGTCAACAGTTCAAGGGACATGATAGACCTAGTCTCTCAAAAGATTCAGAAGATTATCAGTGAATATGGCAAAATATTTTTTAAAATGGTAGTCTGTGTAAAAGACATGAATTCTCTGCATTACTGTTTTATGATTTTCTTGTTCGTTTCAAATAGTCTTCTTTAAAAAGTCGTTTTACTTGACATGTGGGACACTCTGGATGTCAGCTTCATTTTGCAGCTCCAGAAGCTGAAATCACCCCACAACACCACACATACCAGGCC